GGGGGGGGGGGGGGGGTTGCGTGCGTTGAGTGGTTGTAGCAAGAGCGACTCTGCTTCGGCAGACACAGGTGCTCTTGGTGACATCAGCGTACCGAGGGTCACACAAGGGCTATAATTTAGCCAATCAGGGACCAGCAGGGGCTGTCTGGCACGCTGATGGGTTCATCAAGATACTCCCGCGCTTTGTGTAATGGAGCAGAGCCGTGCATATGCACGCACACCCATGGAAATACTTTTCCCACTTACTTTGATGTTCTTACACTTAATATTCTGTTTCTCTCTCTTTCTCGTTCTGCAGCGGGAACCACATACATATTTGGACGTGATGGAGGGCTCATTGTGTACACATGGCCGCCCAACGACAGACCGAGCACACGAGCTGACCGACTGGCAGTCGGCTTTAGCACCCAGCAGAAGGATGCAGTGCTGGTTAGGGTGGACAGCTCTTCTGGCCTGGGAGACTACCTGCAGCTTCAGATTGTGAGTCTTACACAAACAAACACACACTTACTATTGGGTCACAAAGTTTGAAGCCACTAGTGAAAAATATAATTCAAGTGAAAATTTTATTTAAATAATTTACATGTATTTCAGATTTTCTTGGTATTTAATACAAACCCCATCTTTAATGCAGCAGCAACAAGCTGCATGAATTCCACAAGTTTGTGTCAAACCTGATGATCGTGTTATCCAGCATTATTTGAGTTATCCAGTGAGTTGAAAGAACATCTGACCGTCTGTGCAAAGAGTCACATATAGTCAGAGAAAATATAGTCATTTAGACCAAGAACTATTGCAGAATCTTGAAAACACTTCAAGAAAATTGGACTTGAAACTATTTTCTCTCAGAAAATGTATCAAATAATTGAAAAAAATTGGCAAGTAACATGATTTAAACTTGGAATTTTGAAGCAGAAAGAGTGTGAGTATTTTCTTGTAAAATGTACTCCATTAATCCTCGTTTTATTTTAAATTTTTACATTTAATTTTTTTTACATTTTATGTTATAAAAATGTGGTGTTGAAAAAAATTTTGCTCAGAAATTGTTACAAAATTTCACAAATAATTACAACGAATCGGCAAATAACATTGGTTTAAACTTGGAATTTTGAGGCAAGACTGTACTAGTATTTTCTTGTAAAATGTACACCAATAATCTGTTTTATTTTCAACTCTGAATTTTTTTTTTTTTTTACATTTTATGTCATGAAAATTTGGTGTTGAAACCATTTTTGCTCAGAAATTGTTACTACATTTCACAAATAATTACAATGAATCAGCAAATAACATTGGTTTAAACTTGGAATTTTGAGGCAAGACTGTACTAGTATTTTCTTGTAAAATGTACACCAATAATCTGTTTTATTTTCAACTCTGAATTTTTTTTTTTTTTTACATTTTATGTCATGAAAATTTGGTGTTGAAACCATTTTTGCTCAGAAATTGTTACTACATTTCACAAATAATTACAATGAATCAGCAAATAACATTGGTTTAAACTTGGAATTTTGAGGCAAGACTGTACTAGTATTTTCTTGTAAAATGTACACCAATAATCTGTTTTATTTTCAACTCTGAAAAATAATTTTTTGCATTTTATGTCATGGAAATTTCGTGTTAAAACAATTTTTACTTAGAAATTGTTACAAAATTTTACAAATAATTACAAATAATCACACATTGTTTTAAACTTTTAATACTGAAGTAGGAAATAATTTTATGGTGTAGTTATTGTTCATGTTATGTTCGGATTTCTGTTTTGATTTAAATGTTTCAAACTTTTAAAAAAGTGAAAAAAGTGATTGTGACATGTGGCCAAGTATGGTATCCCATACTCGGAATCAGTGCTCTGCATTTATCCCATCCTAAGAGCACACACACAGCAGTGAACACACACACCATGTGAACACACACCAGGAGCAGTGGGCAGCCATTTTTGCTGCGGCACCCAGGGAGCAGTTGGGGGTTCAGTGCCTTGCTCAAGGGCACCTCAGTCATGGTATTGAAGGTGGGAGAGAGCGCTGTAGATTCACTCCCCCCACCTACAATCCCTGCCGGTACCGAAACTCAAACCCCGCAACCTTTGGGTTACGAGTCAGACTCTCTAACCATTAGGCCACTACTTTCCCTCACCAAAAAAAAACTTTATTTCCAGTTTTAAAACTTTATTTCCAAGGTTTAAATGAAAAAAAAGTCCCAGATTTTCAATATGGTCAATATGGACATTTGGTCCCAACTGTTTGAACTTGCTCAAACCTGCACAGATTCCCCTGAGAATCCCTGCTGTTCATTCATTTTCACACAAACCCCAGAGTAGAAATTCACAGAAAATCATGCTCCCGACGAGCCCTGTGAATGATCATTAGGGTAATCATAGTGTTCTATGCCTCCTCCAACACTCAAAGTGCTGGTCTGTTTTAGAAAGTTCCAGCGCCTCAGACCGCCCTCATGAATAAAAGCTGTATAATGTTCAGAATAGAAGGCCCTACCAGTACTTGCTCAGAGGATGCTATTTGATAGAACCCGCATTTCCTATGACATGCTGTGCTGGAGGAGTGGGAGTTGGAGGAAAGGGGGACGGAAAAGTGTTTGGCACTGAGCTTCGAAGAGTTGTATGTGTTTTTATTTATTTATTTTTCATGCGTTCTATTTTTTTGACGCCCACTCCTGCTGTAATCACAAACTTGATTCCCAAAAGAATCAGCGAGCTCTCTCTGGGGTGGCATTATGGCGTGACTGTTGCATGACTGCCTCAGCAAATGCGTTCCGAGCTCGGTGAGGTAATGATTTCTCCAGCTGAGCCCTGGAGTTTACGATGCATGCTGGTGTCTATGTATGATTTCAGCTACAGTGCTGCAATGCCCCGATGTACTTCACGTTTTTATTTAAAGGGGTAGTTCACCTAAAAATGAAAACCTCATCTTATTTGTCATTCCAAATCTGTATGATTTTCTCTCTCTTTTTTTTTTTTAAAGAGTATCCTGACCATACTATTCAATAAAATAAAAGTAAATGAGAACTGGGATTGTCACGCTTCAAAATAACACTGAAAAAAATAGGTTTGTCTATCATTTTATGATTTTATGATCCTTTTGTGTTCATTTTGAAGCTCCAGTACCCATCGTTTTTTAATTGCATGGAAAAGTCTGGAACTGTTCCTATAATAAAACATTTAAAGACATTTTCTCCACCAAAAGCTAAAGTAGCTACAGTAGGTTTAGTTTGCATGCACGTTCATGTGAACCCTGTGCCCTGTGTAAATTTGCAGCACGGATATGTTGCTTCAGTATGTGTTATTGATCAGCAAAATCACAGAAGCTCAGAGCGCAAGAATGATCAGATGCCCAGTAGACTGTGGGTTATGATTTACCATCTCATGTACTCGAAACATTGTGTTCCTCGCTTCTTCAGTTCAGATATGTGCTTTAGAATGCAAGGTGGTAGGTAGCAGTGATGTCTTCGTGAAATGCGTTTTAAAATGAGCTTGCAGGAGTTGCGTAAGCCCAAGATATGTAACACTTTACATAATGCCTGTAATTAAGATTATCACAGATTATATATTTCCATATATTGGCATGACAATTAATCAGGCATCCATGACTGATATATGGCTTTTTGGCATAGGGATGGCAGGGAATGTTTATGAGCAAATTAAAGGCCCTTAATGTCTTGATGCGATTAGCGGTGGATATCTAGGCTAATTCTAATGTGTGACTGGTGGAGTCTCTGCAGTGCTACGTCTGCCATTTTTGATGCTTTTTGGACTGATGACTGCTAAGCCAGCATAAAAGGTATTTACTAAATGAATCAGCCTTGTGTAGGAGGGTAAATTTGCTGTACCTACATCGCTAACCGTCCATAAAGCAGTTGAAATCATTACAGATATCCAGTACCATTTTTACCTCATAATTAACAAGGGGGAAAAAAATGATTTTCCCTGCCATTTCCGTTAATTATATTTAGGCAATGACAAGATTAATATGTCAGTATTGACATTAATGGCGAGACTGTTCGGTGATGTAATGGGATGTTTTGATAAACCTGTCTGTACGCTGGGAAGATATCATTATCCAGAGACTACCTTTCTGAAAGTGAATTAACTTAGGATCATTGACCATGTTAACGAGCGGCCCTTGATGTCCTGATTTTTCAAACAGACAGTGGTGTTCCTCCCCCCGCGCCCCGTTTCTGCTTATGACCCTAAACACTTGTGACAGAGTTCATTTAAATCTCATCATATCACCATCACTGGGGATTATCATTAGTCATCGTTCACCCAAAATCATTGAGCCGCTTGCTTATGCAGAGAGAGAGAGGGGGAGAGAGAAATAACAAGATGGAGAGTGAGAACTGTAAGGAATGGTGAGACAGGCACTGTACAGAAAAAGAAAACATTGGTACACATTCTTTCACTCAGCATAACGTTGCATTTTAAGGGGTAATGGCCTATTAAATACAATTTCTTCTGCTCAGGATGAGCTTGCCAGCTGCTCGAACCCATGGCCAAATGCCCTGCGGGCCATTTGTGGCAGCCATGCAAGCCGCCAAGCAGGACAGGAGCGAAGGAGAAATGGATGATGACTGTAAACGAGTCAAAGCCAAGTGATTATACCCCTGGGGTTTGACCAAATCATTAGCACTTTCTGACCTCTTACACTCTCGATGCCAATTGATTGTGTGTGTGTGAGCGTGCGGGCAGTCTAATGAGCACATCAGTCCAATTGAAGAATGGTGACGATCACAGCTAACTCAGCAGTGTTAGGTACAGAGGTGTGAACAGTAGTACTGACAAGGGGATAGAGAATGTGTTTGTGAGAGAAGGAGAGAAAGGACGTGAAAGGAAGCTTTCAGAGAGCACCTGTGCTGAGATGTCGGTGATAGCAGAACGGGCACATTGACCATGTTAAAGGGATAGTTCACTCAAAAATTTTTACTCACCCTATTTGTTTCAAATTTGTATCACTCATTCTTCCGTGGTGCACAAAGTGTGAATTTTTGAAGAATACAATGAAAGTGAATGGAGACAAAAAAACGGTGAAAAAAGCATTACAAAATTATCTTCAAAGTGGTCAGTGTGACTTGTATGCTATATTCCCAGTGTTTTTGAGCCATATAATATCCCAGTCTCGAATGTAGTGGTGTCATTACCACTAAAATATTTGTGATGAGAGAACCAATATTGTAAAGCATCAATATGCCATTTTTGTAGTATATGCAACTTGTTCATATGACACTACCATTAAGAAGTTTAGATTTTTTAATGTTGGGTGCATTTATTTGATCAAATATACAGTAAAAATATACAGTAATATTTTGAAATATTATTACCATTTTAAAATTGTTTTCTATTTGAATACATTTTAAAATGTAATTTATCTCTGTGATAGTTCATGCAAAAATTCATGCAAAGTTTAATTTTCAGTAGCCATTATTCCAGTCTTCAGTGTCACACAATCCTTCAGAAATCATGCTGATGCGGT